CTCCTCACTATATGGACTAGGGGATGCACAAAGGGAGGCCTGCTGGCAGTTCTTGGAGCAGGCTGGGTTTAGGAGGGTCTTCCTGCAGACACCATTCCTAGACACCTTCTAGGCATCCTTTGACCAGACCAGCATTTTCTGGATTAAGAAACTGAACAGCCTGATTGACAGCAGGACTTCCAAGCCCTCAGTGATGTTTCCTCTTGGCAGGCACTGTAGGCTCTGAGGATACAAGCTGGGTAACGTGGTAAAGCCAGAGCTGGAACTGCACAGGCATCAATTACCCAGAATAGATTTGCCCAGGCCAAAGACCCTATGTAGTGCCCAGCATCAGGAGCTCTGCGGGGCCAGGGAAAGGGGCAGATGGAAGATGTCCACCCTGAAGCCAACAGGAAAGCATTTCACTTTCTCAAGAGTGCTCTTCAAGGGGTGATGCTGAAGGTCTTGACCACATCCTGAAAGGTTTACCTCCCTCCATTTCGGGTGCTCGGCTGCATTCCTGGCATCTATCTTATCAGTGTACCATCCTTCACCTCCTCATGCCACGCCTCAGATTTGCATTCCCTGGGGACACACAGGAAACCCATAGGCTCTGACTGACTTTTGGTCTTGGTCTCAGGCTGACCTCTAGGGGACATTTGGGACACAGCAAGGTGCTGAGGGCTGAATCTGCCCCCAGCTGTATCCCTCAGATCCTGCCTCAGAAGGGCTGTGGTTTCACCCTGGCTGTTCCAGGAGCCAGAGGTGGGCTGAGAGTTCACCATGCCTGGCTGGCTAGCTGGCTGGCCTTGGAATGTCCTCCTTCCCTCCTCCCCCCATTCCATGACACTCAGGAGTCTGCTGGAGGGAACTAGCCCAGGTCCACCAAGCTGCCCTGCTAAGAACAAACAAGGCTGTCCACCGTGTCCACCTGTATACTGCCTCAGCCCAGTGCTAGGGCCAGTCCTGCATGGAGGACAGAAAGAGATTTGCCTGGGAGAGGTTTAAAACCAAATGCCACAAACACCTTGTACAGTCCCATGGGAAACAAGGGGAAGTGCTGGGGTTGCTAAGATGACTGACCCTGTCTTTCTGCCTCCATAGAACCCCTAGATCTTTAGAGAAAAAACCATATTGCCTCCCAGAGAATGCCCTCTTGAAGGCCAATTCCTCCATCCTCGTTTCTCATCTTCGCTCCATGCGCCATCTTTTCTGGCTTGGAGGGGTAGCATGGGGCCAGGAAAGTTGCTGGAGCCATGGAACATGCCCCTGCTCCTGAGTATCCCTGGCCTCACACTACTCTGTCTCTGGCTTTTCAGCATAGGCTCCATTTTGACATGATTTTGAAACACTGGAAGCCAAGGGCAAAAAGGGATTAAAAAAGCATCGAGATCACCGAGCACTGATTTGTCTTCTCATTCAATCAGACCTAGATTGGTACAGCCAGCCTTGCTTTATAGCTGAGGAGGGAACTCGCTGAGGTTGCATGGCTGGTCAGTGGCTAAAGTGAGGCACAGACCCTGTTTTAGATGATGGCACAACCTCCACAAAGAGCCAAGAGATTCCCGAGTCACTGTGTGCCCCCTATTGGGAGTCCTCTATCCTGGTTCTGGTTCTGTTGGCCCACATGGCCACATGCATTGACCTCATATGCACTGGGCCCATCAAGGTAGGCTTGGAGCCCTCACTGCTGGTCTTGCACGTGCCTGGGTGATTGGAGCCATCCCCAAAGGCTCTCATGTGGAGCAAAGCACCCTAAAGCTGGGCCACCTGACTCCTACCATGTCCCCAACATGCTGTGGTTGATCTCTGCCACCTTCAAACTGCTAAATAAAACTTATAGGAGGCCAGTGGTATGGGCTGAGCTCTAGCACTAGGCACAGACCAAACCAAAACAGGCTTGCTCATGCTGAAGTTTCATATCACTAAGACCGAAACTAAGTTGCTATGTAATCTTCCCGGAAGTCAGAGAAATACTACCTAAATCCCTAAAAGGGCCAATTTTAGCTGACATAATAAAGAAGTACCCTGTGCCTTAACCTTTTCAAAACAGCAAGCTGATACTAACAAATCAGGTTTTTTTTTTTATTACCTTATTCCCACCTTGCAAAACCCACTATTCTGCTACTGCCCAGGGGAAATAAAAGTCAGTTAGACCTACGCGCTAGACGTGTCTCTGTGGCAGAAACCCCAGAAAACAGTGGAAGGGAAGGTTTATTTTGGCTCCTGGTTTTAGAGGTCTCAATCTAAGGACAGCTACATCTGTTGCCTTGGGCCTGAGGTAAGGAGGTGAGGCAGAGTATCAAGGTGGTAGGAGTGTGTAGCACAGGCTACTCACCTCATGGTGGCCAATAAAGGGAGAGGGAAAGAGAGAGAGAGAGAGGGAGGAGAATGTGCTAGTGGGTTTCCTCTTTCTTCCCCTTTTATTCCGGCCTGTGGGATGGTGCTGCCCATATATTCAGGAAGATCTTCTCCCTTTAGTTAATCCTCTTGAAAGCACCTTCACAGACACACCCAGAAGTGCCGTTTTCTAAACTCCAGGTGCTTCTCAGTCCAATCAAGTCGACAAAATCAACCATCTCATCCAAGTAAATACCTCTGGCCTTCATCCCAGCCTTATCATCACACTGTCTAAACTTGTTGCACTTTTGTGTCTTGACAGAGCCTTGGTCTTCTCCAACACGATCAGCTAGGCCATCCTCAGCATTATAGTCCGTCATGGGTTTCCCCTCTTCCAGCCCTGCCCATGGGATCCAGCTTGGTTGGACTCTACCACCCAGAAATTTCCAAAGAACCTGGTCAATCGCTAAAGTGGTCTTAGGACACTTTCAGATGCAAAACATACTTGTTTGTGGGGGAAAGGGGATTCTGGATGAGGTGCTACCCAGAAGAAAAGAGGTTTTGGAGCTGACTTGGGTGAAAATCCAAAATAGTCCTCATCTAGCCGGAAGAGTCCCTGGAAATGTCACCAGTGCATCTTAAAAGTTTCTCTGTAGTATGAAGCTGTGATTGAAAATAATTCAAGGTTTTATAACAAACACACTGTTGGGCAATGATAAGAGCCGAATGAAGCTAGAAAAACTGGTATAATAATACTGTGTGTGCACACGAGTGTGTGTGTGCACATTTATGTATCTGTATGTGCACACATGTGTGCATGTGTATATGCATGCACGTGTGTATGTGGGACAGAATGCACATAGATGCCAGGAGACTAGAGAGGGGCCCAGGAGAGGGGAAAACAGGCTCTAAGGGAGACACAGGGAGGGTAACAGAACACATGTGACATAAAAGTGAAGGGGACACTGGGAGTGGAAGAATTTAAGTGGGGATCGGGGGCAGGGAGATGGGGGGGATGAAGCAGAGGGTCAACCAAAGCCAATGATTATGAAAACGCAAAATAAAATAAATTAGAAAAAAATGGATAGTATGTGGTCTTTACTTCTGGCAAAGAGCTTCTAAATCCCTTGTTATTTCCTGGTAGGGATGGCGTTTACTCCTCGTTGCTTCCTTTGACCACACCCATGTTAATGCCAATGAGGTGATTCAGGGTGGGACCCATAGACAGTTGCAGGTAGAGCTGGTCAGAGAAAGACCACACTTGGCACTTCCAGTCCCTCCCAGCCCCCACCTCCAGGGAGAAGAGGTTAGTGCCTGGAGAGAAGGCTCAGCAGTTAAGAGCACTGACTGCTCTTGCAGAGGACCGGGGTTCGATTCCGAGCACCCACATGGTGGCTACAAACTGTCCTTAACTCCAGTTCCAGGGGAATCCAAAGTCCTCTTCTGACCTCCACAGCATTGCACAACACAGGTGCTTAAGAGCACTGGCTGCTCTTGTAGAGGACCTGGGTTCGGTTCCCAGCACCCACATGACAACAACCATCTATAACTCTAGTTCTAGGGGAATCTGATACCCTCTTCTGTCCTCTATGGGCATTGCATGACCTGGGTGCACTTAACATACATGCAGGCAATACACTCATACACAAAATAAAAATAATAAATAAAATTTTTTTAAAAATTCAATTACATTTTTATTTATTTTGTTTGTGCATGTATCACGGTGCACTAGTGGAAGTCAGAGGACAGCTTGTGAGATTCAGTTCTTTCCCTCCACCATGTGGGTCCTGGGGATGAAACTCAGGTCCTCAGGGTGGCTTTTACCCACTGAGTCATCTCGCAGGCCCTGAGTTATGAAAACTGTTAACAACCAGATTGGAAAGTTTCAGGGTAGGTGAATACATTGGTACACTGGGAAGCCAGTGCCCACAGATGGGGCAGACACACGCTAAGCTTCCCCATGCCTCATCTAGTGGGTGTTTTCTATGTGGCTATGCCTCAGTGTGTTGTTTTATGTCAATCATAATTGTGTATAATGCATAATTGTAGCTATAATGCCCTAAGTTGTAGTGAATTACCAAATTGGGGGAGGGGTGGGAGCCTCGAAATTTGCAGCTGACCAGACAGAACTGAAGCTGATGTCTGAAGTGACCATACTAAGTGCCAGACACTGCGGAATTGGTTATTTGAGCAAAACCAGCCAGGGACCTATCTGCTCAGATACGATAGAACAGGAAGAAAGGAAGAAAATTCCAGTCCTGCCCACCTGACCTCACATTACTTCCTTCCTGGGTTCGTTTGTTCCTAGCACCAGCAAGGAAGAGGAAGACTCTTTGAGGACCCCAGCTCTTATTCCTCCACTGGGGCTTCCTGAGGGGCCTCACTGCTCCTGTTCCAGAAGTCATGTCTTCTCTTGTTTTGAGACAGTCTTGCTCTGTAGCCTTGGCTGGCCTGGTACTTGCTATATAGGCCAGGCTGACCTCAATCTTCCTGCCTCACATTCCCTAGAGCTAGGATTAGAGGCATGTGCCACTACACCTGGCACACTGAAAGAAGTTTATTGACTTTGATGCCAGACGGCAATTAGAAGGAAGGCCTGGTCCTTCCAGACACCACAAAAGCCAAGTAGAGGTAGAACACGAAGGACAGAGATGTGGGAGGCTCCGAGGCCATGACCTTACCTGCTCAACACAGTCTGGGATCTCTGGAGCGCATGGCAGGGTCCCTGCGCTCTCCACAGACAGCACGTCCTTCAGCAGCTCCTCGCACCCTGTAGGCAGACAGGCAGACAGACAGACGACAGTGAAAGGTCAGAGCCTGAGTCTGCATGGCTTCTTTGCTTCGGACTAATGGGCCTTGTAGGGAATGGCTGGAGGAGACAGGTGACCCACATCTCCAAATACCTCATATCTGCTGAGGAATTCTTGCTTCCTTCCCACTTCCCAGAACTTGGAGGAAGCTGCAGAGAAGACCTCTACCCTAACCACACAGAGGGGCGAACCTGGTTTTCCTGGCTGCATTGGGGGGCGGCGGGTGTGTGTGGGGGGTCAGCAAGATACAAAAGAAGGGAGACCGCAGCCATTTTCTTGGGACAAGGAGCAGAGCAGGAAGTTAGAGTTGCCAGATTCTGATTTCTACAAATTTCTTAAAACTGACCCTTTGAATGTGAGAAAAAGAGAAAAGGGGATTTTTATCTTGCCCCTTTAAAGGAAATGAGGAATGAAAGGAAGGAAATAGGAAGGCCAAGAGGACAGAGAGCAGTGAGGAAAGAGGAGAACCCTAGAGGAGAGAGACAGGCAGCCAGTCTGCCCAGCTGCACTCAAACTCAATTTAGTTTTCATTTAGCCTCTTTTTCTCTCGTTGTTGGTGACTGAGCCCAGAACTTTGCACTTGTTAGGCAAGTTCTCCACCACTAAGGAAATCCCCCAAACCACCTCTCCCTGACTGGATTTAAAGCTGCAAGTCCATCACACGTCCTGAGAAACTCCTCAGGATTGTGGTCAATCCAGAGGGAGAGAGAGGGCCAGAGGAAAAAAGCTGCAGGGAGCTGTTCTCCAGAGAGGATAGATATGGGAGGAACATAAAGAGCCATTCCTTGATCTAGGCATCCCTGACCCTGGGGTGGGATGCTACGCTAGTGGTTCAGAGAAACCTACAGCTCTATACATTGTCCACAACTGGAGCAGCTACGGATGCCCAGGGCCATTCCCTCTCGGCCTCCATAGGTTACCAGAAACAGAGTCCACTTCTGGGGCCTACCCTTGGCTCTGGGATTCCTATGGGGATTCCAATCTGGTGCCCAAGTTATGCTGGCCTTCTAGCTGAACAGAATCCCGTGCAGCTGGACAGGACTCCAAGGTGGTCAGGACTGGAGGGCCTCACCTTTCATGGCGAACACTCCTCGGCAAAAATCCTTGAAGTTGATTCTCCCCAGGTCGTTGGGGTCCAAACACTTTACAAGTTTTTCCACCTGTGGGAAGGAAAGAGGACAGGTGTGAGGTACCCAAAGACATCCCAAGGGCCCAGGACATTGGGGCACAGAGGTAGAATGGAAAGGGGGGTGTCTCACTAAGCCAGAAGGGTAGCAGTGTTCCTAACTTACTCTTTTCCCCTGGCATCACTTTATTCCCTTCAGTTCAAGATTCAAGTGAGGAAAAGCAGACTGGGCTCTTCAGCGAGCAGGGGGCAGTCTACCAGGCTTCTCTACACCCAGTCCCAGAGACAGCATGCTGACAGCCAACACTCTGCTACTAGGTTGCTTTGGAGATAGGGTCTAGCAATGTAGTCCAGGCTGGCCTGGAATTCTCTATGCTCCCATCTCAGTCTACAAAAATGCTGGGATTACAGACAGGTACCACCATGTCCAGCTAAGAACATTGCTTATTTTTATTTATTTGTTTATTTATTTGAGACAGGGTCTCATATGTCTCTGGCTAGCCTCAAAATTACAAGGATAACCTTGAACTTATGATCCGTCTGTCTCTACCTCCAGAATGTTGGGATTACAGGTACATACCACTAAGCCCATTTTTATGTAATGCTGAAGAATGAATGAACCCAGGGCCTTGGGCAGGCTAAGCAAGCATGCTGCCAAGAAGCTGCATCTACAGCCCATCATTCCAAGTTGACATTTCTTTCTGAAGCCTTCTTCTAAATTAGCCTATACCTCACCAGCACCCTCTCCATGACATTCATTCATTCACTCATTTAACAAGTGACCACTGTGTGTCTCCTACTTGCCTGACACTGGCTGGGGCTGATAGTGGTAGGTGCTGGTCCCACTGGCTAGTTACAAATGGTCACACAGACATATATGCATAGTCACACATACACACATGCCCCTTGTTAGGCACCTTCCCTCAAGCAATCACCATCATATCTATAGCACAGCAAGGTCAGAATTGTTACAGTGTTAACTTCTGAGCGAAATAGCCGTGGTCTCCATTAGAGGAGCTGTGACTACTTGCAAGAGACCCCTAAAATCAGGCCTTGTTGACTGTTGGCATTTCCTTATAGAAGGGGGATGGGGAAGGTCACTGATCTTTACCTGAGATTCCAGCTCTTTCCTCTATAACTCCCAGCTCACTGTATGTAATTCTACCCTATGTGGCCCCCCAGCCTCCAGGAGATGCTAGAGTATCTAGACTCTGGAAGGAGACGTGAAAGGGGTGGGGGGGGGCTCCATCTATAACAGCTATAGGGAGGCTGTCATCCACGCTGGAGTAACTTTTTGATGGTGAAGCTGCTTTGGGGTTACTTAGACTCCTGTAAGTAACCCCTCACCCATGCGCTGTGAGTAAGGCCAATAAATTAATTGGTTCCCCATGTAATCATACCTTGGTTTGTCATTGGTGTGCTGAGGGGGTAGGGGACAGGTGCTTGTTTATATCTTTCCCAGGAAAAGCTTCACACAACAAAGATAAGCTCTTTCCAGAATTCTCTCCAGTTGGGCTGAGGATGCTGGGCATGAGAGCACTCTGGGAACGCAGACCTAGCATGCAGGAAAGGGATCTCTGCCCTTCTTCCTACGCTGCCTGTCACATGCACCAAAGCACAGGCAGCTGGGCAGACCCATATGCTCACAGACTGTTTTTCCTGCACATCTACAAGATGCTTGTCCAGAATGACAGTTGCAGCAGGCATCTGAGGCCCTGGCCACTGCAGTAGCCTGGCATTAAGGGCTGAACACGGTGGGCTTCAGAAGATGAGCAGTGAACAGAGCCCCCACCACAGCCACTTCTCCCTCCCTGTGCGTGGTGACTGTGTTTGTGCCTCCATTCCAGTTGGCCTTGATTTTCCACTCTGCTGTGAGTCTGGAGTTGAGGGATAACTGAGGGGCTATGCAGTATCTTCTCTGAGATGCTCTGGAACCTGGTGGACCATCCTTTGCATCCATGCATCCCCAACTCTGAGGGTGAGATGCTGTGGCAGAGGTTCGGCCCCATGTACTGTCCACAACTGGTACAGGTGTGGAAGCCCAAGACCCTTCCCCTAATCCCCCATGGGGCTATAGAATTTCAGGTAACTCCCCCCACCCCAACCACCACCACAGAAGCCTCTGACACTGCCAGGCAGTGATGTGGCTTCTAAGAATAGTAATGCCCTGGTGCCACCTGCAGGCTCTGGGTAAGCTCACCCACAGCCCCAGCTGGCTGTCCTCCTCTCTTCCTGCTGTCTCCTCCCTGACATTATAGGGAGTCTATAAATGCAGGCAAGAGCCTGGACACCCTGCATTTCCCAGGCTCTAGGACCTCCATCTCATAGCCCTCTTCAAGGTCAGGGGTTATGCTTAATTATCTTTGGTACAAGTCAAGGGTAACTGTGTTGAGTGACTGTAGAAAAGCCCCATCCTTGTATGCACTGAAAAACAGCGGGTTCTGTAATTCATAGACTAGAAGTCTTTAATCCCTGGGTCCCTGATGATTAGGGGCCAAGGATATCACTGGGTCAGGCTGTTCATCCTCTGCCTCCTGGGAAAGCCAGCACAGAGCAGGTAGGGGCTGGATCACAGAGATGCTGCAACTAGGGGCTTATGACTGCTATGACCTCCCTTCTCTACAGCTACTCTTGAGAGTATCAGTCCCAGAGTAGTGCTGTGCACACTATAGGTCATCCCTGTAATTTGTACATTCTTATATCACATATGGTTAGTATCCATCAAGACCACAACAGTAGGTGCAATGGCTATTTAAGACTCTTAGAGGTCTTATGTAGGGAGGGGTGAATAATCCTTGCTAGACCTGTGAAGGCTCACCATGAGCCAAGGAATGACACAAAGTTCTCATTTCATAACAACCATTAAACAGCTATCATAGTTCCCATATTACAGTTGAGGAAACTGAGGTGCAGAGACGTTAAAACATTTAGACCAAGTCACCCACAGTGGTAGTTCCTGAACCAGGTATGACTGACCTGAGAGTATCTGTGGTTGCTCTCTACTGCCTTCCTGCCCTCTGCAAGGTGGGTGGTCTCTCCTGGGCTAAGTCAAGCTCTTACCTGTGTGTGTGAAGTACTGATTCAACTCCTCTATACCCTGTGTATGAGAACAGCTCCGAGCTGGGGGCATGTGCAAGGCCCTGGGTTCTAGCTTCAACATGGCCAAAATGGGAGAACTGATGATCAAGTGTTTGAGGCCAGTCTAGGCTACAGGAGAGGCCCTCTCTCAAAAAACAAACAACAAAGCTGGGTGTGGTGGCACACACCTTTAATCCCAGCACTTGGGAGGCAGAGGCAGGAGGATCTCTGTGAGTTCAAGGCCAGCCTGGTCTACATAGTGAGTTCTAGGCCAGCTGGGGCTGTAGGGAGACCCTGTCTCAAAAAGACACACACACACACACACACACACACACACACACACACAAAAAAAAAGAAAACAACAACAGTAAAACCCAAACACACAAAACTCACAAAAAAAGAGCTTTGGGATGCCTGACTTTGACACTGGTAATCTGCAACACATCTGAGGATGCATCCTGCTCATCAGGCAAGGAGGCCAAGTCCCAGGAAGGGAAAGGGCTTGCTCAAGGTCATCCAGAAAGAACAGCACATAACCACCATTGGCCATCAGTTTGCAAACCATGTGTGGCCACCACGCAGTCCTGAGGGCTCCCCTGGCTCCCCTGAGAGGAGAACACATGCTCCAGACCTGCCAGGGAACCATGGGAACAGCTGAGGGAACAGGCCATGCGGCTGGACCATGAGCTTGCTGCCAGGGGAACTGGTGGTTTCACTGTCAGTAAAATACTGATCTTTCCTTTTCATGGCCACTCAATTACCAGCCTTCCCCTTCTTTTGCTTTTCAACTCAGGCTGGTTTTCTCTATTCATCGCCCAGGGTCACATCTCTAGTGCTGACTGAAGGATGCTGTGATGCAACGAACGTCACTGTGGCCACTGTCTAACTGCCTGCTAGCAGGATCCTCTTGGAGCCCAGCTGGTCTCCCATTCCTCCCTCATGCCAGCCCTGCAAACCAGCTGATTCCAAGGAACTCTTTCTTCCTGAGGGCTCAGCTGCGTCCTTGAACAAGGGAGATGAGTGGGCTTAGCTTGAGGTGGCTCTCAAGGTGCTAAGTAAATATTAGCCATTTCTATTAGTAATCAAAGCAAACTCAGGGCAATTGCCTTCACGCTGAACTCTGTTCAAGCATTCTATGTATCGATTTATTTCAGCCTCACTAGCCCCTGGGTTGTGAATATGATTGGTATTCCCATTTTACAGGTGAGGAAACACAGAAAGCTCAGGCATTCAGGGTTAAGGTCACACAACTACCAGGAGGCAGCTGAACCCTCAGTAATGAATTCTACTATTTATGATCACTATTGTTATTATCATATGTTTGGGGGCTTGCTCCAACCAGAGAATGAACAAGTCTGTCTTCTGCCTACTTTTCATCTAGAAAAACTGGCATCAATTCAGGAAACCCTTGCTTGAGGATTTGAATATTAGAGGAAAAATTAGTTTTGAGGTGTTGTACTACTAAAATAAAGGTTGCCAGCTAGCATCCCAAACAGACTGCAGACAGACGTAAAATCTGTTACTGAGATGCTAACATAAAATTCTGGGAAGTGGGGCATGGTGGCATATGCCTGTAACTTCCAGAAAGAGGATCAGGAGTTCTAGCCCCATCTACATGGGGAGACCTGTCTTAAAAAGAAGAGACCCCCAAACACAAATAACACCAATCAGGGAAGTCTGTTGGCTCCGGGAGAGCTGGAGTAAGGCCCCAGTACCCTGTCTCTCGCACTGACTATAGCTGAACACTGACACAGAAGACATAAGGAGACTCTGCCGAGTGAACCGAGGGAAAACAGAAACATGAATTTTCTAATTTGTTTTTCTTTTCCACATTTTCTATGCAGCAGATGTGAAGAAAAAGGCTCCAAAAGAAACCCTCTTTCTGACAGAGCTGGAGAAGGGCCCTTCTGAGACAAACAAAATGAGAACAATGTTCTGGTTGTGTCCTTCCCCCAC